CTGAGCAAAATAATACTTACCTTCTTGAAACAAAGTTTCCGTTTTATCCGAAATTATCCTAATTATCCTAATTAATCCTATTTAATTATAAATGTATAGTAATTTTCTTTTTGCAAAGTAAGTCCAGATTATTCCAAGCACTTCTTCGTGAAACTGCAAATTTCGTCGAAATGAAATTAACGATATCGTTCGTTCTCCAATTTTTATTCTCAAATGAAAAATTGTGTTCGTTAGCTGTTCGAAGACTTCCAGTTCGATGCTGATTATCGCGCGAGCCTAGTTACATAAGCAAATATTTGAGAATACGCTCGAAACACTGACATTATCTGGTCGCCTGTGTAAATCGCGAGGCAGGCTGATAGCGCTTACGTTTTAAATATTTGCCTAGAGTATATCAGCGGGATAGTTTCGCGTATGTCGCGGTCGCGTCGAATTTTCAACAGGGAGATCGCGCGGTATCGATTTGTTTCGCGTTCGCGCAGGTGAAACGCGGTGAAAAATTTACCTCCGAGAAAGAACCGGTTAATTAAAAGTCGATGATTGACGGTGTAGAAGACTGTGTTTCGCTTGCAAATTCGAACTTTGGATGATTTTAGTAAAAATCAACGAATGCAAGGTAACCAACGTTGTCGAAACTTCGCTGAAAATTGAAGTAGCAGCTTGTAATTGGTGTATAAAATTTTCAGTTGTAATTGTCGTGTGAATAAATTTAGAACTTCTACGGTTTTATTGCTAATTTATGAAATAAGTGAATCGTACGGTATAAATAATAAATATTTTCTTGATATATTGTTAATATTATTTTATTTAAAATTTTGGAAACCTAAGACTTATCTTTGAAATTTTCTGAGAATGTCGAAGAAGAAGATTTGTTTATTTTATTTTCTAGAAGTAAATTTTTGGGAGAAGCAAAGTATAGTATGTAATAAAAATTGCTCGAATTTCAAATAAAATAATTTAATCGTGTTTCTTCTACTGGAATCGACTGACTCGAAGTATCTAGAAGTTGCTAATTGGAAAACTAGAAACTTGAGAATATCGTCCGATCGCAAACAGATACGGATCACCGTGAAGCTGCTTGCTCTGACTGTTTAAATTTCGATGGAAATAATGTGGAACCGCGAGTCTTCGTTAACTTGATTAGGCTTTATCTTGGCAATCTCTTGCAACGGAGTTTTCTTCGTTCTTAT